TACCATCACTGAACAGAAGGTCTTCGTGACTATGGGGCTTTCCCAACTGCTGTTCATCACACTGGTGTGTATTAAAGAGTAATTTAAGGAACGATTGGGTTGTGTAGTTGTCTCACGTCTTGCATTTGGGGATTCAAAGGACACCGTTGCGGACTGATTGGAGACAGAAAGGTATGAAAACAAACCGAACAGGTTGCTGTTTTGTGATCGATTCTCATCAATCAAGAATGCTTAAACAAGTATCTAAACAGAGTTAGATTGTGTACTCTTTCTTGTTCCCTTCCATCCCTGTCTGTCTTATAGAATATAATTTACTTGGTGTACATATGAGCTTGGCAGCGACGTTCGATTTACTGTATTCTACTGTATGATGGTGATGATGATACGACGAAGGAATCATACAACGGTTTTGCGATTCTGGATCGATTTTCTGTTGATTTTAATTACTTGTGGAGAATAGTATAACCGTCGCAACGGCTGGATACGGTAAATGATCGATGATTGCCACATGTTCCGCAGCTATAGCTGTCTTTATTGGTAATCTTGTTAATGTCGAAGATTATGGACTGTGAGAAGGATATACGACGACGAAAATGCTTATCTTTAGCGTTCTATTCTCTCTCTCCCAGTACATTAACAGTATCGCTTTGTTTTTCTTTTTTTAGGATCAAGTACGGTCTGTGGGGGGATTTTTTTGTAGCTCGTATCTCGTTCAATGTTGCTTATGATGCGGATGAGGTGAAACATTCATTTACGTCTAATTTTCTCGTTGCAGTATCGGTTCAACATGTCTGATGACTCGCTGATGAACTTGACGCCTATGGATTCCCTGATCTCTGCTTTATCTTCGGTCGCGGAGCTAAAGACGGACTTGAGTCAACTGTCTGAGCTTATGCAATCGCAGGATGTCTCTGTTGGTCTCCCGGTTCCGGATCAAGGCATGAGCATGCAAATTGTGCCTTCTTCAGAGCACGCGAATTTTCTCGATGATACAAAAGTCCCAGATGAGAAAGCTGCCGTTGTTCTACGTCAAAATTTACTGTCCGCCGCGCGCTCTCTCCTAGACGCGTGCACCGACGTGAGAAAAATGCTTCTGTGTCATCGTCAAGGTCTTTTCGATGCGTCAGAAAAAGTGACAGCCATACTTACGGAATCGGAATTGAGCAGAATGGAGGCAATTGAGAGTAAGGTGCAGAACTCCGGGGAGCATGAAACCAACACTTTCGAATCTCACGATACAACTGTGGTTTCACCGTTCGATCAGACCGTGGTGTTCGAACTGCTTGAGCGCCAAGTGAAAAATTCTGTCGAAGAGATAGAGCAACACAAGTTGGAATTTCAGCGTGAACTGGCACAGATTGCTTCAGAATTGAACAGGTTTAAAGGTGAATTTAAAAAAATATATTTATTCAAATGATGAATGTTTGGATCAGCCCATTCGGTTTTTCACGGACACCAGGCACTGTTGATGTTCAGCGTGGGTTTCACTCCTTGGGAGATCGTTGATTCCCCACTGTTTGTATGCATTTAGATGCGATGGCAGTGTTTGTGATAACCAACAAACAGCACTGGACAGCATCGTACAGGACTTGTTTTCATTGACTTTTCTTCTTTGGGTAATGCATCACAGTTTGTGTAGCGAAATTTCAATGACTCACACAAAATGAAACAAACCTTGGGAGGAGATAATGTTTTCTGTTTTCGACTTTGTGTCTAGGCGGAATGTGACAACAATTAGAATATGCAAGGATGAGTAGAAGATCGCACACAAAAGAAAAAAAGGTTTGTGATGTCATTATGCTCGATTGAGCCGGTGACCACTGCCGCAACCAGGAAAGTGTGTGTGTGGTTCTTACGTCTCTTCTAGGTTCGTTTGGAATCAGAGTTTTTAGCCAACTCCCCTAGGTGAACTGCCAATGGTTCAACAACCCGGTTACAGATCCCGGATATCGGCTTTTTGTCCTCACTTTGGTGGGAAAACACTTCCACGGGAAGACTGTGAGCAAGACATCCTCAGCAGAGACTATTTGAGACGCTTGGTCATATAGGAGCATTTCGCGAGATGTAAGGGAATGGTGACCAGTCACGTTCCCAGACATCCACCCCAACCATACTGAGGTTTTCGGAGGTCATATTGTCATTTGTCCATCCTAATTTTCGTCACATTCTGTCGGAACACAAAGTTCAGAACAGTGTAGAGTTTATTCAATTGCGAAGTTTGTGTGTGCAATCGACACTCTTAATTACACAATTTGTAGTGTGTTGTTCAACAAAAATGAAGTACCGAAATCAGGTATCGCTCGTCACATCGTGTTGTTTATACAAAATTTTGCTGATGGTATAGCGAGATACTGCGCTAAATTCTTTGGGATAACAACCTAAACCGACACATGAAAATGCATGTTAATGTTTGTAAATCTGAAACAATTTATATGATGAATGTTTGGATTAGCCCATTGGGTTTTTCACAGACACCAGGCGCTGTTGATCATGCTGATTGTCAATCACACCGATACTTGGCACTTTCAGTTTACCGAACTTCTCCTGTTACGCATCACAGAAGAAGTGTCGGCTCGGATACTAAAGTCTCGGTTGACATTTGTGGCGCCATCGCGACATCCGGCTGCCCGTTAAGAGTCGAGTATATGCTGCAGCAATTCGGCCAGTCCTGCTCTACAGTGCAGAGACTTGGTCACTAAAGGAACAGGATAAAAATGGATTGTCGGTGTTCGAATACCGCTCTCTACGCCGCATTGCACGTGTCTGGTGTGCCAACCCGATGAGCCATACTGAGGTCAGGCGTGGAGTTTTAGGCAGTCGCGAGCGTTCACTGGAGAAAGTGATCAACCTGCTTAGATTAGGTTGGTTGGGGCATGTGTTACGCATGTTACCCAATAGGTTGCCGTGGCGAGCGATGTTTGCCGAGGCAGGTAGCGATTGGAAAAGATTGAGGGAAGTCAAACTAAAACCTGATATGAGGGTATGAAAACCCTAACCAGGAGACTAGGTCACATAGGCCCCGTTAGGTTCCTTGGCTGGGGACCTCGCGATAATGGTCACTGAAGGTTAGAGACACTAGATGATATGGCTGGGAGTGGCAAACAGTGGCGCTCGTGCATCCACTCATTATTCTCCTAACACCATTATATGGATTCTTTGGCTTCCACTTGAATTCGCTCTCGATGTACCAATCTTCATTCTGCTCTTTTATCCAAATGGACAACCTAAAGATACCAACCAAAACAGGCGCACGAAGATGTATGGCTACTGGTTGTGAAAACCGAACTAAACTGGATGGTCCTTGCACTGAATTCCCGAGATGTATCCACAAAACTGGAGTACAAACCGGTCCATATTATGTTTTACAAAGCAGTAGTTCTGTTGCTATTCTTCGGGCTCGCCCTTTCCACTGTTCGCTCCTTTTAACCTACTTCAACTAGCATTGGCTTCCCG